CCGAGAGATTTGGGAAATACGGACGAGGTTTCAAGGATAATCGTAACAAAACATATATGTGAAAAACAAAGTAATGCATACGTGCACAGTTTCGGTTGAAAACAGAAATAATGCACACAATTGGGGTGTTCACAGTTCGTTCCAATTAGTGTCTCAAAATGTAGACGTCTACATTTTAAGACGTTTTCTAACCGTAAAATCTGTGGTGTTGTTGTTTCCCATACAAAATTGGAAAACGACTCCGTCTACATTTTGTCACACTCAAAGGTATGTTTTTTACGCGTCTACATTTTGCAACCTCGCAGCAGGGTTGCATTATGGCAATACTCGCATGTGCACAATAATCGCATTTTTTTTATTTATTGGGCACGTTTTCTGTATTTGCATTTAATTTGAGCGCAAGAAACAAATCAAGGAAAAGAAATCACAAATATTAGGAATTGGCAATTAAGTTAAATAATTACAATTTTTCAGAAACAAAATCGAAAGGCGACATATAAAAAAGCACGCAAAGAAGAAATGTCTGGCAACACCAGCAAAGTTTTGAGACGATTTTGCGACGACTGCTAGAAAGGGGTGCTCACAGTTTGATGCTAAAGATGTCTCCAAATGTAGACGTCTACATTTTCAGACACAATTTGGAACGATCTGTGAACACCCCAAATATAACCAGTAAACAACCTTTGGTGAATTTGGCGACTGCCTTCCTCGGGGATGAACATGCTAGGAATGAAGTTATTGGTACACACGCCTACCAAGCACGCAGGGTTGCTTTTAAGAAACAAAAAATAATTAACTCCAAATAGTTTCAAAAAGTATAGTGTAAAACGAAATTTATTGAATAATTCCACATAAAATGCTATACATAAATGACTCATTTTCTAAACGATTTAAATAGAACGCATTTCATAACCTTTTTTTGTGCAAATGGCATTTGCGAATTGATAGAAACGTACTACGGATTATAAATTTTTGTTAACTATGAGGTGAATGAAAATTTTCAACCCGGCCTAACGGTTTTGACGAAGTTTTTTGTTCTAATTTTATTACTAAGGCGCCTAATTGTTCTAGACGAATAAATGTCAGTAAAGACAAGTCTTTTTTGTATAATTTCTGATTCTAATTGCTCAACTTCTTTTGCACCAGAGCAACTGTCAAAAATTTTCACCAGTAAAAGTTATGAATTGTCACAACAGAAATGTACAATTTTCTCGCCATAATAAAAAGTTTTTTAACATGGAACTTTTCTACTAATTGACAAGAAATTACTATCTCAACGCTCGGGGTGCTGCCACTGAGGGCCTTTGCCAACTGATAAAAAAGTGAAAATTTGGAAAGACCAAACAAAGATTTTTAGATTTCTCGTTGTGAATACGAATGCCATAGTTTTTACCTAGCTCATGGGACTACGCAAAATTTTGACAGCTTGTAAATATGTATACACATAAAGTTGTTGGCGGTAATAATAAGAGTCAAAATCAAAATGGAGAAAAGAACAAAAAGCGTACGTTAGTTGTCAGTTATAAAATAAATCCAATTTATTTGCGAATATTTGTTTATTCTATTTATTGAAAGGCAGCCACGCGGAAAAGCTTGTGTTAATTATATTGATAACAGAACCTGGCAGCTCGCACGTTGTCTAAATTCTCAAGTAACATAAAGTCCACAAAAGAATAAATTGCTTGTATTACCATCAATACGCCATGTATAAATTTTAACAACACACAAAAATAGAGCTTTCGCACGAGCGTTTGTTTAATTTTTCAACACCATTTATAATTTTCTTTTATTAAAATCACGATTTGTCAAATGCTTAAATTTATATATCTAATAATAATGCAGCACACAACCCTGAAATCTAAGAAAAAGTCTGAGGAAGGCCATTAAATAGCAGCACACAACCCTGTGCCT